GGAGATTTTTGGAATGGGGCGTTAAGTAGGGAAGAAGGGGGGGGGGGGGGGGGGCACAGAACGGATGGAATGGAAGGTTTTTTTTTGTGTGTACACTTCAGCTTTAAGAAGACACCTGTGACTGCTATTGGGTAGAAGTTTGCACTCATTGGATTAAAGTAAACCATAATTCTGTTTTCTATTTGTATTCTAACTTTTATTATTTCTGCATTAGGACCAAAAGCAAAGTTAATGTTACGATATCCTGATGGGAAAAGGGAACAGATTACGTTACCAGAGAAAGCCAAATTAATGGTGAGTGCAGTCCATTTCAATCTACCTTAAAACAAATGTACAAAGTGAATCAAAGTGTTTTATTACGGTAAATGTAATGTGTTGTCATCACTTGAGTTAAATGGAAGGGTTGGGATTTAAATGTTAGGGTACAGACAGGCTTAGTGCTAGGGGGTTAAGTGTTAGGGATTCAGTTTAGAGTTTATGTATTATGGAAAAGTTTGAGTTCATGACTAATTTTTAGGGTTTGCAGGGGTGTGGAAATAAAAAAAAAAAACTGCCCAAGGACTAAAGCTGGGGCCCAATCTATTTGTTGTGATAGAAACATTTTTTTTTTAACCTGAACTGTTTTTAACTATGCTAAGAATTGCTTCTCATTGGTCAGCACTGTCAGGTGACTGCAATATGCGAGCAAAATTCTAAATACATAGTGCAGGGCTGCGCTGGACGGCAGTACTTCCGTACACCCTGTACTATCCGTACACCCTTTCCGACTGAGCGGAAGGACTGTTTGCCGAAGGGTTTGAGCGGGTAATTCTATTTTCCCAAACTACTTGGGAAAGCAAACTTACCGTTTAATGCACATTGTGCGTGTTAGCGGGAATGGGACCAGTACTCAGCACACACACACAATACCCATTCACATGCAGATGGCAGGGCAACAGAATTGGTTTTAATTTATTTTTTTACTTTTTTATCACTTTTTTTCCCCACTTAACTTTATTGGATCACACAGGGGATAACAAGCCCTCCAATAATACAAAGCATTGTTCTTAATCTCCTGTGCAGCCCAGCCTGTGACAGCTGAGACGGGAAGCACTGTGAGTACACTGTCTCACTGATCACACAGCAGATCGGAGAATGGACATTCTCCGGTCTGCTCCACGCTCTCCATCCTGAAGTAATTTGCCGTGGTCCCGGGTCCCTGAAAACCATGGCTAAGTGGGAAGGGATAAGCAGGCTGCTTCAAGTGAGCCGCCCAGATCACTTGTACAAAACGAGGGGCGGGTCCCCTGCTCTACATTTAGCCCTGCTTGCCCACAGCAGGGCTAACTGTAGGAAAAAAAACAACACCTGCCCGGCTTCCGGAACTGCATGTCCCAGGCATCTGGCAATAGGAATTGCACACCGCTGTTTTGGGTAGAGGAGGATCACGTATTAGGGTCTGTATTTCAATGGAGATGGCTTAGGGACACTAAGGAACAGAAGTTTATTTTTACTTTATTTTGGGTACCAAAAGCCCTATGCTAAGAACTACCATACCAAACTCCAACGTATCATGATATTGTATGTATGTATTGTATGATATTGTATGTATGCAAAGTCAGTGGCTTGCCTCACAACAGTTCTTTTTTTGACATTGGTGACTAGTGTAAGAGAAAATAGTCTGATTCGGTTTAAGGAATTGAGTACAGGGTATAATATGATGCAGATAATTATTTTATTTGGATACATAGGGGCAGAGTGATAAATAATATCACTGGCTTTCATATGGTGTAATAGCATGGACATTGTTCCCAGACACAGACTGTATTGGACATAGTTTTCAGAGCAGGGTGCAGGCACATGATTTTGCAGCATGATATGGGGCTATGATGTCATTTATAACATTGTCTCCTTCTTTCCTTGCAGGCTTTGGTAAAACACGTTCAGCTAAATGGTTACCCCAACGAGCGATTTGAGCTCCTAACAAACTTTCCCAGACGAAAGCTGTCACACTTGGACTACGATATCACTTTACAAGAAGCAGGCTTGTGTCCTCAAGAGACGATATTTGTACAGGAAAGGAACTAAGAACCCTCTCTTCAGTTTCCCCACTTTCACCATCTGTTACTTTGCCACTCCTACTAAATTTTGGTCCCTTCTTTGTGTCTCATCATTGGTTCATATTACTTGGGAATGGAAAGCTTCAGAGATACATGGGACTATTGAGGAGAGCGTAGAGCTGTACACTGTGAAGACACAGGATGTTCGTACATTGGAACTCTCCACACATGTCACTTCAAGTCTTATCTCTTTGTTACTATTGGATACATCAGTGCACATCCTTTCCTCTGTGAACACCAGGTACTACTCGCCACCCTTTCAGGAAATGTACAGCTCAAGTTCTTTCTGGATAGTCATATATATTTTTTTGTATGAATTTGGAATTTTCAAGGATATTTTCCAGATTGATTATTTATTACTCGTTGCTGCAGAACCTGCAGATGAGCTTTTGTTTTATCTAAGACTGCTGTCATTTTGCATTTTTATTTTCTTTCTTTTTCCAATTAGAGACTTTTTGAATCTCAGTTTTCTTTATGTTCTACCAGATTCATTGAGGAATAGTTGATGCCAGATAACAGAAGAGTCAGGACTGACCATTCAGGAAATCGGTTTACTAGTCACATTGCTACTAAACAGAGGCCAAAAATGAAAGAGGCACTCGGGTCCAATAAGATATCTGCTCAGAAGGTTGCAGGCCTGCTTGAAAATGGCTGTATGATGCTTTCAGTAAAATGGTTCATGAGAACTTGTTGTGGTGTGCCATGAAATGACAGTCTTAGTGAATGTAATAAGAACACACAATAATGTATTATATGTGCTACTCATGTATGTCTTGCTAGAAGTATGACACACTCTGTTTGCAGAGCCCTCATCCTGGAACAGCCTAAAAATATTAAAAGTACCATCTTGTCCTAGATTAGTATATCTGCATACTATACGCACATTCTGCGAGCAACACAGTCACCATTCTTTCATTTTTATCCTTGAGTTCATTCTGTGCACCAGTCTGTTGTTCTCTCTACATCCTCATGCAGGTTATGGAGTCCCACGTTTCCAACTCTGTACATTTGAAATCTGTCTGTATATTTTCATAAGCATCCTGATTTCCTTTTCCTGTGGGTTCATGTGCATGGAGGTATAATACAGTCCAAGATGACTGGAAAGAGGCCCCGGAGACACGGAATGCATAGCCATATCTGTCTGCAATACAAGAATTAAACTTGAATTAGTTCATTTCTGTTTTAATTAGAGGATATATAAAGCCAAAAATAAAATGTAATATATTGCAGCTTGCCAGTCCTTGGATGTGTTGGCTGCATTAGTTTTCTTTTTTTAGGTCAAGACCCTTTATTAGCAAGTACAGAAATTACCTGACAGAAAGAAAAGCTGAGTCCTTGTCACTTTCTCTGAGCTTAGAAGACCGCAAAACATCCTTCGCCTACCTATGTAATTTACTAAAAGCAGACATGTTTGAAGCCCAACCAGTGTGCCAACCATGGCTGCCTCCATGGATACATTGAAGAGAGTGTAGTCATGAAGGAATAGGAGGTATGTTGCTTTCAATAAAAATTATGCAGCCACCACATCCATGGACTGGTAATCGGTGAAGTATATATTTTTTATGTTGAGCTAGGCAGTGAAAACTAGCTTTTGTCTGATGGTGGTTACATTTACAGCAGTTAGAACCTCCTGGTATATAGTAAAGGAAGAATCCGGTCGCACTCCATTCCACATTGAATCAGTATATTGAATATTTGTCAGTGACACCGACTCCTGCCCGAGGTCTGTCCCCTCTGGCATGTTTCACCTAATCCTGGGCTTAGTCATAGACCAAGACCAGGATTGAGTGAAACATGTCAGAGGGGTTGGACCTCGGGCAGGAGTCGGTGTCACTGACAAATATTCAATATACTGATTTAGCATGGAATGGAGTGCGACCGGATTCTTCCTTTTACTCTATGCCTGTTTGGTCGAAGTGAGGACATACTCCTGCCGGCGAGTACTTGGCTGTCTTTCCCTGCTCAAGCCGTGCTTTATTTCTATGCCTTAGGTAAAACATCCTGTCATAGTAGGTTACTTTGTACATTCACCTGTAACGGGTATACAGGGTCACCTCTCCGGCAGTCTTGGCTGATTAGTTTGTCATCACACACAGGCTCCTATTTAGTATCTCCCATCAACCTTTTCGGTTTTCCCTTTTAGTTGGGATTGCATTCCACGCTGGTCAGTTTAAAGGGATCTATAGACTTTGAAGTGTTTTTAGGTAGTTCTGCTTGATCAGGTTAATCATGTTATCAATGAGTATTTATGCTTAAAACTTTTTTTTCCCTGTTTATAACTTGTATTTATATATGTAATGGTATGACCATACTTGCCTATTAATATATGAAGTAGTGGCTTCCGGCGTAGTGGTTCTGCACAGTGATTGTGCTTTACTGCCCCTCAAAGCAAGTCGGCTACTGCTTGAATCGATTGAAAACAAAATGTTTGGCTAGCATTATTGTCAATACAGCCCAAATGTAAATGGATTTGTCTCGGCAGTCCTGATATTCAGATTCAGCCGCTAGAGGGAGACTTGATCTTTAAATAATAAAACATAAAAATATTAAGTGCTGCTAAACATGTAAAATATACAAATAAATTGCTTTTAGTTATATTGTATTAGAACTCAAAATATGTATTCACTGAAAATAGATGCTGCCCTTTTAAACCCCCTGAGGTATGTAAGGGAATGGGGTATATTGGGGGAAGATTGTTTCGGTATGCTGCCCCTTCCAGTGTGCAGCAGAAATAACACAGAAGAAGGATTCTAAATGTGTGTTTTTATGCTTGGGATTTGCATAACTGATCTTTTCAGGTTAGAAAAGTTTATTCTCTCCGATGCAGAAACTTCAGACTGTCAATACATGTCTAAGGAACTTTCCACACTTCTTCAGATGCTAAAGTGCATGCCCAACGACAAGGCGCACAGAGAGAGAGAGAGAGAGAGAGGGGCCATGTGTCTTTACTTTCTTTTTTTCCCCCTAAATCTCTATCGGTTCCTCCAGCCATCGGTAACAGAGGAACTCCTAAATGTAGTGGTAGGTACAAGAAGAAAAGGGCTCCTGTGGTATTCAAGCAGCTATACCTTCTCTGGATTTACCTTGCATCTCATCTCTGCTTCTCCTATATATTAGACCTGATATAAATCTGATGTCCCATGCTGGAAGTATGAAAATGTCAGTAAATACAACTATACAGATAATTCTGGTTACTGACTGGCTTCCCATTGCTCTATAACATTAGGCCTCAGTCTTCCAACATACTAAAATCATCTTACTTAGATAGTCGGAGCTGCTGTAGTGAGCAGAGAGTGGCTTAGATTGATTGAAATGGTCATCTGGATGTAGAGGTGCATGGCTACATCCCACCATCACAGGACCATAAGAGTGTTTTGTAGATCCACGGTGTACAGTGATTTTCTCTTTCGTCCGTTAAGGGACATAGGGATTTTGAAACCTTCAGATTATACTGTACAGGAGGCTTAGACCCTTGGAATGAAAAAAACAATGACAAATATGACCTCGTGCCAAACCCTGTGTAGCTGCAAGCACTATAAGAAGTGTTACCTAAATGTATGAAATTATAATAATGAATGTGCTGCGCTTCAACTACAGCAATCAAATAAATGAACAAATCTCTATAATAAAAAAAGTGCTAAACAATACAGCAATCAAAGTGTTCCCAATTGCTCTTCTTGTAAAGAACAATCCTAAATAATATCCCTGTGGAAAGTTCAATCATATATTCCGTGTTCCGATATACACAAATGTGTAATCACACATATAAAGTGTTCAAGATTTGTCCCAAGTGCACCACACGCTTTATCCTTCCACGATGAAAATTCTATATACAAAGTCCATACGCCATCTCCAATTATCACCCTATTGTCAGGGTACCCTGCACAGGCGTTCTCACACCACATGCAGGTACCCACACAGGATGACCAAATTAATATGCCCACACAGGATAGGGTTATATGCACAGTTTATTGGTTCCACATCAACAAAACTACAAACCCAACAAAGAGAGGTAACAGGCCTGCAGATGTACAGCAGGCCTTGGGATACCAGAAGAGTGGTCAGGTACAAGCTGAGTCGTTAACAGGAGGGCAGCACGGTACAGGAACAGGATTGATGAAGAGTTGTCAGGTGCAAGCCGGGTCAACAACAGGAGGACAGCGCGGTACAGGATTCAACGGAGAGTGGTCGGGTAACAAGCCGGGTCGGTGACAGGTTTTCAGATAGGACGCAAGGTTCAGGGCATCAGTCAGGTTAGCAACACAATACTGACCCAGCTTCCTGATTGCAGGGAGGGCCTAAATACCCTCCCAGGAAGCACCAGGTGATGGGATGAGCAGTCACAGCTGGGGCACACCCGCAGGTGAGTACCGGAGCTGCAGGTTCCTTACAGTCCCTGGCTGCTGGAGACACCCGCAGGCGAGCACAGGAACTGCAGGACCCGGCTCCAGCGCCACCTGGGGGTGCTCTGGATCCTGACACCTATAAGTAGACCTGAGCAGGTCTAAAATCGCTTTATAGGATCTCTGATCGATCTTATTCAAAGACCGTCTCTCCACAATCGTTAGACAGAAAATGACGTCAGCGTGTCATCGCGACCATATCCAATAAAATATAAAAACGGAGATTTTAGACCTGCTTAGGTCTGCTTATAGGGTGAGCACCTGGGTGATAATTGGAGTTGGTGTATGGACTTTGTATAAAGAACTTTCACAGTGGAAGGATAAAGCGTGTGGTGCACTTGGGACAAATCTTGAACACTTTATATGTGTGATTCCACATTTGTGTATATCGGAATATATGATTGAACTTTCCACAGGGATATTATTTAGGATTGTTCTTTACAAGAAGAGCAATTGTGAACACTTTGCTGTATTGTTTAGCACTTTTTTTATTATAGAGATTTGTTCATTTATTTGATTGTTCTAGTTGAAGCGCAGCACATTCAATGAAAAAAAATTAACTGGGGGC